TTGAAACGTACTCTAGTTTATATTCATTTACAATAGCGAACCAGAAAAGTGTTAGATATTCAGTTAGTATGTCTTATTTTACAAATACAGCAGTTCAAAATGTGAACAAAGGATTTGTTTGCATTACGGACTTGACATGGTCTTTAAATATTTAGGTTTGATAATGACTTTGAAAAAGGGAAAATATTGCCTTAAATTTTATCTTGCTTTCAATTGTTCACAATTTACGTTAATATTTGGAGTAAGTTTACACGTCATATTTCTCGCAAAAATTGTCTGCAGAAAAGGATAAAACTAGAACTTACTATCGCAAGGAAAGTGTTGCCTCACCCCCGAGGGATTAGCAGGCTAACGATTCTAGGAAATGTCCAAGTCTCTTAATTTTTTGTCTAGTGAAATCCGGTCACTCAACTCACCGATTTGCCAATTTCCATTCCAAAAATCCCAATTCCATTTGCCCAAATCCCAATTTCACGAATGAATTCAAAAACAGAAACTCGCTTTCGTGTTTTGCTCTTCTATATGTCACGCTTTCCCAAATGTAATTCAAATTCGCCAAAATACAAAGCTATTTACTGATTTATGAAATCATACAGGTACTGTCCTAAGTCAAATTCAAGCTGCCTAGCAATCGCTTTGATCAAATCCAAAGATACAAGGCATTTGTATTTGGGCGAGTCTAATTGGTCGTTTGCCGAAACTTGGGACAAGAAACGCAACGTGACGAGGGAGGATAGTTGAGTCAATATAACTGCCGATGCTGGTACTTTCTCGTCGACAATACTGTAGAATATTGCCATTAATCGATCCAGGACGAACTGATGTGGCCCTGAAAGTAGGAAAATAGTTCAATTGGTTGTTGTTTTGGAATATGCATGTGGATAGAATGATTGTGTTGGATTGAATACTACCTACACTGGACCGCCACGTTTTAGATATCTTTTTCAGGTAGTTCACACACAAACCACGATAAGCTTATTGAAGAATACTACCTACACTGGACCACCACGTTTGAGATATCTTTTTCAGGTAGTTCAGACACAAACCACGACAGCTTATTGTAGAATACTACCTACACTGGACCACCACGTTTCACGTTTGAGATATCTTTTTCAGGTAGTCCAGAAACAAACCACGACAGATTATTGAAGAATACTACCTACATTGGACCAACCACGTTTGTGATATCTTTTCCAGGTAGTTCAGACTGTCACTTCAGACACAAACCACGACAACTTATTTACAACTTGTCATAAAACCATCGCATTACCTTTCATCTGACTGCTTGTTTTAACACCAAATTTCGCAGCAACTTTTGCCCGCTTTGTCATTTTCTTTGCTGTCGTTTTGCAGAAGAACTGCCTGTCAGTTTTAGCAGGATTGTGTGACGCTAGGTAGGCGGCAAGTAGCAGATATTTTGAATAAAACGGCAGCTCCACAGTTGAATAGCTGGAAAGACCTACAGCAAAATGTAAACACGTTATAATTTAATATATATACAGGCCAACAGGGCCGTGTATAAAAGAGAATGTAATCCAGATTTAACTTTTTCATATAAGCTGATTGAATTAAAGATGTGCAGAACAAAAGAGAGACCAATTAATCTCTAATGTGTCATGCCAATTAAACTATAAGCTTAAAAAAAGTGACCAAGCGAAAACCCTGAGTATCAGGTTGTTAAAATTCATGCATTTTAGATCCAAATGGGGTTTACTTTCGTCTTCGATATAGTTTTTCACGAAATAGATTATTCCAGCTATAGTAATACAGACTAAATTTTGATCTAGGCAAGAAGAACAAAATCCATCACCACAGCTAGAAAGAGCATGTTAAAATTAGTAAAATTGGAAAGTTTCGCCGCGAAATGTTGTAAGATGCGGAAAATATAGCCCTGTGAAATTTGCAAATTTTGTATTGATTTGTATTACGCGCGGGGAAATGCACCACATTTGGGCTGAAAGTGGTGCATTTTTCCGCACGGAATACAAATTAATTCAAATTTTGCAAATTTCGTAGGGCCATATTTCCCGCATTTTACAACATTTCGAAACCAAACTTTGCAACTTTACTAATTTTAACATACTCTTTCTAGCTGTGGTGATGGATTTGTTCTTCTTGCCCAGATCAAAATTTAGTCCATACCTGGAATTAACTATTCCCAAAGGTGGAAAAAGTAATACCCTTACTTAAAAAATTTAACCCTCTAAGTGGCAAGGCGTAAAAAAATACCTGTGGTTCCGGTTCTCGACCGACCCTATTTTTTCTGCCGACCCTATTATTTTTTCAACGCGATTGACCGTGCGACCCTATTTTCTCCAGGTGGTTGCGGGCTGCTCATACAGCGTGCCAAAATGGCATCTGTTGTCACACTAGTTATTGAACCAAATTGCCTAAATTCATCCATAGGAAATGCGCATCTCTAGTTAATATTGATGTCGGGACTCTACTGCAAATCGCCCAGCAAAAAATCACCAAAACCATGAAAAAAATATTCAAAAAAAAAATTTATTTCCGACCTACCGACCCTAATTTTTTCACGATATGAAACCGGAACCACAGGTATTTTTTTTACGCCCAATGCACCCAGATGAGCCCTACTTTATTATTTTAATCTGTCCAACGCTGGACGATTTTACTCGTCAGGGGGAAAGTGCTGCCACTCAATGGGTTAAAGAGGTTTTCAGGCCCTTCGCAATGAAGAGCCTGTGTACAAGTCTATAATCACCCCGCACCTTTTATTCCATGGGTCCCCTCTTGTATTTGCTCCCACTGACTACTCGATACTTCATGTAAGAAAACTGTACTCATCGCTTTCCTCAGATGTGGTTCAATATTCCTCCATAATTTCTTGACATTAGAATAATCAGCTTCTCCATTAGTAATCGGTTCACAATACTTTGGGAAATTTAACCTTGCCTGTAGAATTAGAATATATTGTATATAGGACTGCAAATAATTATTTTACTTGGAAGGACAAATGCCTGGTCAAACCAAATATTGGTCGGAAATTTATCGATTTTTCTCAGACAACGGACAAAGTAAATTTTTCATATTTTTTTAAAAATTAGCACAATGTTGTCCGCACTGCAATGCATCTAAAACTGAGTATATATCTACTACACGAACAACAGTATGTTAACCCAAAAGAAAATGGAAAATACAATGTCCGGCCAAAGAGGCCTAGCGCTGCCCTTGTATGCGGATCTCAATTAGGCAAGTTTCCTGGCCAACCAGACTTGGTGGGTATTCTGGCAAGCCAGACTCATATAGACAGGACATAAAGCAGTCCTAAGGCTAAGGAATTTTAAAGTGAGACTAACCACAAATATGATTTTTGGTATGTGTAATATTTAGGTCATTCGAAGAAGAAATGTAATATATCTTTATAATAAAAAATCACATCTTGATCAACTTTTTCACTTCAAAGTTTCCGGATATGATGTCATTACAGTAGGTGAATTGCAAATTAGTTTGTTTTTTTGTACCAAAAATTCACCTAATGACATCATATCTGGCAGTGAAAAAGTTAATCAAGATGAGGTTTTTTACTATAAAGATACCTCGCATTTCTTCTCAGAATGACCCAAATATTACACATACCAAAATTTATATCTGGGGTTAGTCGCATTTTAAAAACATTCTCTTACCAAATAGCTCAATTCCTTCAGATCTCGACACACGTTATAAAACACGCTCAGCAGCAGTTGACAGTAACCATGGTAAAATGCCTGCGGATGTTCGGCTGGCGCATCCAAACACATGATCTCCAACAGTTCTGATTTCGAATAATCTGGGAACTGCATCTGAAAAGGCTCTCGAACGCCTGACCCTTGTCTAAACTTCTCAAAAATTATCTCGCTAATAAACACGACACAAATATTGCAGCCGGTTAACTCGTTAAGCCTCAGGAATGTTGGCAATAAATTGACTTCCATGTCTCGAAGTCGCTCGCATTTGTCAACGACAATGAATAAAGTTTCTTCGCTAAAATTTTCAATCGTTAAGCATTTTTTCATCATTCTAATGAAATCGTTCATGTTGTCACACCGTACAAATTCTTTGTCTTCTTCACAGTCAGGTTGAAGAATTTGAAGTTGGTTCAATATGTGTTCATACATCAACCTTGCATTGAAACACTCGACACAGTTTACAAAGATACTTGGCAACTAAAAATAAGTTTAATAATGAATACAGCATCTTGTAAGGGGCTGTTTATATGGAAGCCGGGCTGGCCCTCTTAGCAAGGCAGCCCGGTAATTGGGATGAATTTCTCCTGTGTTTATATGAGAAAGTTTCACCCCGCTTGCCTGGACTATTTTGCTATGTTGACAGTAAGTTAAAAATAGCTTGTGGCGATATCTTTGAACTTTCATCCAGGCAACCGGGCTAGCCCATTTCTGTGCGTTTATAAGGAAAATTTTCATCTTGGCAAGCAAGATTTCGCCTCTTTCAAGCGAGATCCCGGCAACCGGGCCAGCCCGCTTGTACATATAAACACACGGTAATTTTTACTATAAAAATAACTACACAATGTCAGATCTTGCTTACCGGGCTGTCTCGCTAAACGGGCCAGCCCGGCGTGTGAATTTTATACATTATTTTGTCCATTGAAAGAGCATTGTATCAAAAACAGCCTCTAGAAATCAGCCATTCCAGCCTCCCCCCCTGCTGAATGATCTTGGGCTGCCATGACTGCTAAATGCATACCTTATCACGGGGGCGGGGGGGGGGAGGGTATTACATTATAAACAACAAAAACAAATTAAACCCCAACAAGCTAATACCTGAAGTTTTTCAAATATAGTTTCAAGTACATAATTCTTTCCTGTCGCTGTGTGCCCATATACAAATATACTCCCACAAGAACAAGAGTTTCGTCTGTTGAACAAATTTAGCAAGGTCGAAATCTGCTTCTCTCTGAACAGAACTTTGTCTTGTATTTCATCAAAAACTTCGTCATTTACTTCCATCGTAGCGTCTGCCACAAAATACTTAAAACTAGAGTGCTACATTCGACAAATATACGAGGATTTACTTGTTAAAACGAAGCAAAAAATCTAAAAATTTTACCGAAACATTTTCCATTTTCCCGCATTTTGGCACGTGCTTTATTTTCCATACTTCAAATTGACAAATGGTGTTTCCAGTTTTAAGGCCCAGTTTTCTTCAATTAATGGAAAATTTCCTAAATGTTAATGAGAATTGTCTATTATGTTATTTTGAAAGAAATTAATTTGTGAGTAATTGTACTCTGGTAATTGTAATTTTTATCCAACTTTTTTTTGTAATTTTCACAACACTCTATACAAATAAATTTGAAATTTTATACTTCTATTTGGGAAGCATGCTTATCGCCTTTTGACGCATGGTAAAAATAACATTTGGAACACGTGTGGATTACGTACAGAAATCCCCAGGGATTAGAGATTTAGAGTACGATCCTTTTGTCAATATTTGTTAACCCTTTAAGTTACATACAGATGTAAATGCATTTTCCTTGAATTATATATAATACAGCATGTTATATATTGGTATAGTATATTTATAATATATATATATATATATATATATATATATATATATATATATATATATATATATATATATATATATATATATATATATATATATATATATATATATATATATATATATATATATATATATATATTTAGTATATATAGTATATATAGTATATATCGTATATATAGTATATATCATATACATCGTATAGATAGTATATATAGTATATATAATATATATAACATATATAGTGTATATAGTATATAATATATATATAATATATATATAATATATATAGTATATATATAAATATATATATTTGTATATATAGTATATATATAGTATATACAGTATAATATATTCGCAACATTAGATATAGAAAAGTTCTTGTTCACAATGAAAGTTATTTATTATGGTTGTCTAGAAAACAGTTTTCTCCCTCTCTAAGCAGAGACAAATCTTACATTTGCCGCAAAATATTTTGGAAAGCCCATCTTTACAATGGGGACATCGACTGCGGTTACCATTCACGGGGTTGGGCCAATGCCCAAGTTGGTCATACCGTGTATCATTTGATGGTAAAGGTGTGGTGGGTTTGCGACCAACCTTTGCTGATGGACAATCTGCCTCAGACAATTTTCATTTGCTTGGTCTGCTTGGCTTACGACTGGTTGTTTCCATGGGAACAACTTTGTTGGCACTGATCAAACTCTCGGAAATTTTCAAAACAAAGTCCAGCAATGACAAGCTTTATTTCTTTCAAATTCTCAACTGATCACAATGCCTGCAGTAGAACAGCCCGGCATTGACCTTTGTTTGTATCAGACTTGAAGTCCATGGTGCTACGTACTGCTTTATTGCCGTCCTTGTTGGGTTGCAATGAACATCCTTGAAGGCGGAATAAATATTCAGCTCACTCCCTACTAGACTATGGCTCTATATATTTGTAACATGAATTGTAATAGTGCTTCGGTGTCAACTTTTCATGTTTGAGGAAACATGACGAATCCTATTACCGGGATGAAACCTACAACTTCCAGCAGAGTGTTCGCTTGTTTATTTTCACATGAGAAAGTCATAGGGTTCGCAGCCGAGAAACAAGGCCACTATATTCAGAGGGGAGAACTTAATATGGATCTGACCACTGTAGCACTGAAGCTCATGAACATGATGAAAAGGGATAAAATCAAGCTTACAATAGTCTTACTAATACATAGTATATACACAGTATGAGCATATATACATAAACACTATAAAACAGGGTAGAATAGAATGTTCAACTGGTTTAACCTGCAGCCAAGAGGCCCAATACTGAAGACAAAAGAAATATTTACTTGTTGCAACTATATTCAAAGGAAATTGCAGTAAAATACAGCACATGTTGTGTCTTTTATTAAAAATATAGTGTTCATGTAATCTGAGCTTCAGTGACCACTTCGCGGCAATGTAGCAGATATGCTACAAATATATTTATGAAATTATTCAATACACACAAACGAATTTATACAAACACACAAATACGATATGAAAACACTGCCTTATGTCAAATTATAATATACTAAAACTTATACCCTAGAGCGCTTTACAAAGATAGAACATTGTCACGAACTTAGAGCTTTAAAACTTACCGAAATCACTGTGATTTGGACATCATTTTCTCGGTCTAAAAGCCACTTTGGTAAAAATTTTCGCCATTACAACAATGTCAACAAAGTGGGCTGTATTGCATTGTGGGTAAAAGAAGAAACTAGACCCAGACTGCGAAAAATTCGCGCACTTTTCTATTTGTAGCAGATCTGCTACGGAAGGCACTAGATAGGATGGTGAAGGCTATTTCAGATACGGTAGAACACCTAGTCCCCAGGCCTTTACCAGCGCGACCGCGAAATTCAATATGGCGCCAAGCTAAGGAGTGGAGTTTAAATGTAGTTTATATTCTATAATTTCTATTGTTGTTTTTTGATCTTTTTATTCTTTTTGGTTGGTAGAACTTATATTCTGATATGCCAGGTATCTTACTCTTTACCTGATTAATCTGAAAAAAGATTTTATAACAGAATTTTTCTCAAACATAGTTTAAATTAATATCTATATGTTTCAGTGAATTATGCTTTAAAAGTAAAAAATAGATTGGCCAAGATAAGAAATTTTTGACACTTTCAACTTCAATTTTGAAAATTGTAATAACAGCCTAGTTTACCATAATCCACAGAGCTCCACAGAGCTTGAAAATCCATGCGGAATCTACAAATTATTGACTTTTTGAGTGAAGTTCTGTTTGAATTTTTCAGGTACTAAGTTATATCTAGTTATTTTGTTATCGTCTCTATCTAGCCTGGCACAGACCGTTCAAGATTGCACTGTTTAATTAGCACCAACACTAACAGTCATGGTGGCAGGGATGGATCCAGCATGATCTGGTAGAAGGGGAGGGGGGTTTGATTTGCCAGCTCTAATGCCGAGTTATGTTGGTCATGCATGCCACCCGCCCATCAACTTACAGGTCAAGTCTTGCTTGACTACTGTATTTGAATTGTAATTGTTGTTCACAGTTTGCTTCTTATCATGTTATTGATATCACTCAAATTACTGTATCTCATTTTGTCTCTATAATATTTTTTTGTTTTATCATGAAAAATAGCACCCCCCCTGGCCAGGGCTAGGGAGGTGCACCCCCCCCCCCAGTAAATCCATCCCAACATACAGTTGGGTTTATAGGGGGAGGGAAGGGGGGTTGACAGAGGTACACACCCTTGGCCAACATGGGAGTGTAAAAATCTAAAGGGGGGGGGTGCACTTCAAATTTAATTTACCATACATCTGAGCATTTGAGATATTGTATATAATTAGTATTACAAATACATTGCCACCTTGTAACCTTAGATATTTCATGTGGTATGTGTAATTGGGAAGTATCTTACTCGTCAAGCAATGCCGGGTTCAGAGTCCTCACCTGTTCCCCTAGCAATCAACAATATACAATTTTAATGCCAAATTGTGTGCCAACATGCAAAATGGACTCTGCACAGGTTGTGCACTACCTTTTCATTTCATGCTGGGTGAACATTATCGTGAGGATAGCAAAAGAAACATATTCACAACTAATGTGTCCTCTTTTACTACTTTTGTAATTATCTTGTTCCATGACCTAAATAAGCTAACACACTTAGTAGCTCATGCTTACCTTTCAACTGGCACATTAGCAATGGCCGGCCCATTTTTCTTTATAGTGGTGTCAGGTGTGCAATTATTCAATAGGGTACTAACCTTGTATACAGGGCGTTATAGAATTAAAAAAAATCTGGGCAGGATGTTACAAGGCCATCGGAAGTAAATTAATATTGGGGGGACTCAAGAATATATCTGAATAAATTTTAATTGCTTTTGCACTTTTCTAGTTATTTTGTGTGTTTTGCTTATACAAATGGAAATTTTAGGGGGGGCTCAAGCTCCCCACTTCTGACGGCCTTGTGTTACATGTGACATTGCCAGCTGCCATTAATAGTTTGCAGAATTGTGAAAAATAAATCAATGCTGTAGATTGCAAGTGGTAATGCACTTTCTCCATTGGTATTATAGACATAATACACATAAAATTCCACAAGAGA